TCTTAGATTATCGGACTTTGTTTTCACCATGATGATTGTCAGGCGGTGAAAATGTCTGACTCGAGAATAAATTTCGCTGCGCACAGTGGAAGCTATGTTGGCTTGGATGTCAAGGCAATACAGCGACGATATCCATACATCATGCAACTCACTGATATTCAGACTAAAGCTATTCAAACTATACTTAGTGCCGAGTCTGATGTGTTCGTTTTTAGTCGCACTGGAAATAGTAAATCCTTATGTTATTATGCTTTACCGGCCTTGCGACCATCGAGCGTGGTAATAGTGTTGTCACCACTGTTGAGTATTATAGAAGAGTAGGTGTTATACCTCAAAGTTCATGATGTCACTGCAAGATATATCGGCAGAAATGAAGCCGAAGACATCAGAAATGCAAAGCTCCGGCCGTTTTTGGCAGTCATTGTAACAAAGCTTTCTATTGGTCGGTAAACTTTCTATCGCGCAACCACGTGACATACACGGTTATGAATAGAATTACCGCACGGTGTTGTAGAGGGAGGAATATCCGAACGAAACAACACCGTGCAGGCGGACGATGACAACAAATACAGGAAGCGTTATTTGTACTTCACACCACCGTTGGTGGCGCCATAGTTATCCCAAGTTCTTCCGATATGGAAGCAGTGCATTCGTGACCCGGCCAGTTGTGACCAAATTATTATTGTGCGAAGTCCAAAGGTTTACTATGATCAAACGGTTAATTCAGACAGTTAATAATCACCCAAATACGTCTTGCGTGTGGTTAGGATTGTATGGTTACAGTAGGTACGTAAACGACTTAGGTGGGACGATATGGGATTGATCTTCTAATTTAGCCAGTCCAGTGGTCGCCCTGCGTCGTAGAGATGTAATTTTCATTACAGAACTTGTGTGGGCTACCACGACAAGGTCCAAATGAATACAACTCGCACCTCCACATTTACCGATCTGTAGTACACAGGTATAAGGATTCGACCATTTGAAATAATGGGGGTGGCTGGTAGACTTGTTTAATTCTTATCCTGTCAGCTCCATATACTTTTATATTATTGACCTGACCCGATAAAGTATACTTGACATGTGTCACAGGAACAAAATGTTGTTACACACGAATAATGAAAATATACAGACAGGACACTGCAAAACATTTTTAAAAAATGCACTGGTTATACTATTTCACCACATCCACCCCACCCACATACCTCTCCATGATTTTAAATGGCATTCTATATATACATGTGCTACTTTACTATATATATGTATGACGGTCACTTTACCGTAATGCAAAGTGAGCACACAGCAATGATCGTATATTTCACAGAAATGCAAAACAGCAGACTACATGCAAAATATAAAGTTCTAGGAGAAATATAATATAATGAAAGTGCTGTTATAAATATTGTACACTTTTCTTTGTCATTATATTTATTGTGTTCTACTATGTATACAACATATAATGAATCAACAAACCATAGAAATATGCTCACATTTGTGTACTATCAAGGCGATTCAGCAGTATGATGCCTACAATAAGTGTTAATCCGAAAATTGGAAGAGCAGATCAACCAGTATGCATCCAAGTTTCTAAACTTCCACCGTTGACACCATTCACGGTAAGATCTCATCTTATTGGTGAGAAAGGACACAAATTTGAAGCTCATGGTCACTATACAGCATCGACCGACGGTGAAGTTCATTTAGATAAACATCCATCAATAGGAGGAACATACACAGGTAAGTTATATTATTATACGTCATAACTAAGTAAATTAGAATGGAGAGTTCAATAACTATGCAACATTCATATTATTTAATTTGGTATATTTATAATCATGAACTATTTCTGCGTATCGATTACAGGCATTGAGCCCATGGGTTTATTCTGGAGTATGGTGCAATCGCCAGGACAGATGACAGGAATTCGGTATGTCAAGCTTGATGTAACACAGCCCAGTAGAATAGATTTGTCTCTATACCCTGGATATCTTGGCATTGATGAATTGCAAGATACAACGCCAGTAACGACAACAAGCATCGAACGTGTCTTCATGGACGAACACATGGAAAGATTTGAAGTAAAAGCAGGCAGAGTTCGTGGCATGATAATTAAACCAAAAGGTGAATTGACAAACAAATTAACGCTATAAGTCTAAACCAGAAGGATGAAACGAGTTGTGGAAATGTGTGACATTCTCAGCTTTGAGAAGAGTTAGTTAGGCCCACTGAAAGCCAGAACTTTTGACAAGGGTGATGCCGATAAGTGCCTTGAAGGTGTGCGCTTCATAATATCAGGTGGTTGATTCAATCCCTGTTTAGTTAGCATATATCCTACATGGCCATGACCAGGGTGATCTTGGTAACAACTGTGCTCTCGTCATTAAATATGCCAAACAAGAAATTCTACATTAGAATTGATTCTACATTTTTATATACCATAGTTTTATATTTATTGCAACCACAAGAAACGGTTAGGCTGGCAATGTGATTCTGTGGGTTCTGGTTTTTCTGTATGATGTCATGATTTTTATGTCCTGGAAGCATATTTTTCATATTATTCAGCTGTTAACATAATCAGCATTTGTGATGTCATAATCAGCATATGTGATGTCATAATCGGCATTTGTGATGTCATAATGAGCATTTGTGATGTCATAATCAGCATCTGTGATGTCATAATCAGCATTTGTGGTGTCATAATCAGGATTTGTGGTGTCATAATCAGCATTTGTGATGTAATCACCATTGTGATATCATAATCAGCATCTGTGATGTCATAATCAGCATTTGTGATGTCATAATCAGCATTTGTGATGTCATAATCGGAATTTGTGATGTCATAATCAGCATCTGTGATGTCATAATCAGCATCTGTGATGTCATAATCACCATTGTGATGTCATAATCAGCATCTGTGATGTCATAATCAGCATTTGTGATGTCATAATCAGCATCTGTGATGTCATGATCAGCATCTGTGATGTCATACTCGGCATTTGTGATGTTATAATCAGCATTTATGATGTTATAATCAGCATTTGTGTTGTCTTAATCAGCATTTGTGATGTCTTAATCTGCATCTTTGTTAAGAGTCACTCTCCATGTTGTCCATGTCTATGACGACATATTTAGCAACCACATGTTTTCATGAATTCAAAATTTGTTTTTAATATTTCATTCAAGCACTGTGAGAATCAATTCGTCCCTGTCATGCAAACCTTTAATTACTGTAACGATTTTTTTTATTTAATTATGCCCTGGCACATAGTGGTTACCAGTCTGTCCATATGTTCAA